TCGCCCGCCGCGAAAAACGTGATCCTGCACACCCGGCGGCCCTCGATTGAACGAAATAAAAAACAGAAAAAAGAGGAGAGAAAAAGTAAAAAAGAATAAATTTCGTGGCGGCAGCGACGTGGCAAATCGTGTTCTAGCGGGCCACCGGCAAATATCCACCATTCGCCCGCAGCGGACTCCTTTCGCCCAATACCGTCGTTCCTCGTAAACTCGTCCTACCGCGTCCCGAAAACTCGTTTGAATCGATCCATTCGGAATTCCACGAACCGGGTACATCGCTCCCGTCCCTCGCGGCAGACCTTCTACTTTGATTGGCAATGTTTAGAAGATGGCGTCGCACGCGAATTTTAAGATCGTTTCGTGAAATTTTGGCTGGTTCTTCGTGTATACACGATGCTGCTTCATGAAGTTTCATGTAACTAGCGATAGGATTGTAGGAGCTTTTCCTGCTGTGTTAATATTTCTTACGTATTTTTCGCTGGCAATTTTTTTTCTTTTCTCTTTTTCTTTTTCTTTGGGAAGTAGAATGTCGTTCGATTGAGTATTATAGGAAGAAATAAAGAAAATTTGGGTACGCTTATTTTATGTGCAATTTTCTTAATCCGATATGGACGAATATTGCGTTGACATAGCATTTCATTTGCAAGTTCTCTTCAATCAATCGAAATTAATTCCAACCTCGGTTTCAAGTCTAATATTTGGTCTAAGTTACGATCGCCGTTGAATGGATTAGAATTAAAACACCGACTGAGAAGATACTTTTTTCATTTAACTCCAAACAACACGAGAAGACATTCGCTCGAATATCTTTGGGGCAGAACGAAAACTATCGAATAGAAATCTGAAACTGTATCGATCTACTACAAGAGATGCCCCTTTTTCGAAATATTCCTCGAGGGAAACTTTAAAAACTTCAAAATTTTCGACAGAGGTAACTTCATAATTTAAGATGGACCAAATGAGAAAAAAGATTTTCACACTTTATACGAAATTATCGATCAGCTAAGAGAAGTTGTACTTCTAAAGAAAGTTGTACTTCTACGGAAGTTTCGAAGACCTTTAAAACGAAAATTTTAAGAAATTACTTTTACATTTTTTTAACTAAAGAAAGAGGAAACTTAGACTCAACTCCTATTACTTTCTTGATCAACTACAAGAAGGGAGGATACCTCTATCGAAGGGTTCCTCAACCAAGTCGAGGAAAGTTTTTGGAACTGTACGATTCAAGAAGATTTCTCTAGAATTAGTTAACTAAACGGAAAAAGAGAACATTCGTTGGACCCGGTTCATACTCCTCGAAACTATAAGATAACCAGGACCAAATTATACCACTATTTTCCAACCTTTCTCGGATCGGAATTTCCAATTAGCCAAATGACGCATAAAAAGACATTCTTAACAGAATAATCATTTCCTTTGATGTATCAAATTTCATCCATCGATATATTACGACGATTACAATAGAAAATTACCACGTATTTATATCGAAATAAATAAGTCTACAACTTCTCTGCAATAACATTTTCCACGTACAGCGGTCATCCTAATTCTACGAAGATAACCGTGACAACCTTGCAGAAAAGACTTCGTAACCTCTTTTTACATCTCGTGTCCCAAAGAAACTGAAAATCTCATAACACGGAGAGTAAATACCACGAAATAATTTTTCCCAACTACCATCTACTACTATGGGCACATATTCGCGAGCGAAGATTCTTCTCCACTTCTTTCGATCGTCTTCGTTTTCTCTTAAAAGGCAAATGCCAAGGTTGATCGTGATGATCGAGGGACTTCGGCCATCGCGGCTTCACACGAGGGATTCTCCGCTCTCTGGCCAGCGCCATAGATGATAATCGGGCAGTGGCGGCGGTGTTGCGCGGCGCGGCGTGGCGAAACTCGTGCGAGTATCCAAGGTATAGGTGGAAAAGCGAGGAACAACCAATCAGAGGGCAACCTCCCTGGGGACGCGACGTTGCCATGGTTGCGTTCGAACCCTCTTAGGCCGTCTGTGCCGGATCCCTCACGGCTTGCTCGGGATATGCCGCGTGCGGCCTGGCGTTTCGTATCCGTGGCACACGGCCGTGTCGG